ATAATTTTACCTGGCCTGATGCACTTATTTACATAAACTTAGGCTATTGGTTTAGATCTCCCTGCTCTATAGCCCAGATGGCCTCTCAGAAATCAGTTAAACCCTGGTTTTTAAAATTGTGAGTGGCCATTGTGTTTGATCTATAGTCTACATTTGGCATGCATCTCCCAACCCAAACAGGTACTCCAAACCCCCTTTACTTGGTGTTCCCTTCTCTATCTGAGCTGCCTTTCAGCATTTGAGGCTGGCTTCCAAGCCGTGGAGTAAAACTCCTGGTCCTTATCTCTACTATTCTTGGGTGTTAGTCTCCCATTCTGTTACTTTATATTCCACAGATGAGTGCAATCTTTCTATGTCTGTCCCTCTCTTTCTGACTCATTTCACTTAACATGATACTTTCCATGTTGATCCACTTATATGCAAATTTCACGACTTCATCTTTTCTAACAGCTGCATAGTATTCCATTGTGTAGATGTACCAGAGTTTCTTTAACCAATCATCTGTTCTTGGCCACTCGGGTTTTTTCCAGATTTTGGCTATTGTAAACAGTGCAGCAATGAATATACAAGTGCAGATGTCATTTCTACTATACTCTCTTGCCTCTCTGGGATATATTCCCAGAAGTGATATTGCTAGATCAAATAGGAGCTCAGTTTCTAATTTTTTGAGAATTGTCCATACTGTTTTCCAAAAGGGCTGAACCAGTTGGCATTTCCACCAGCAGCGAAGGAGAGTCCCTTTCTCCCCACATCTGCACCAGCACCGGTTGCTTTTGTTCTTATGGATATGGGCCAGTCTCTGTGGTGTGAGATGATACCTCATTGTTGTTTTGATCTGCATCTCCCTGATGATTAGTGAAGAGCATTTTTTCATGTGCCTTTTGGCCATTCAGAAGAGCCATGTTTTTTTGTTTGTTTGTTTGTTTGTTTTGCTTTTTGGGTCACACCCAGTGATGCTCAGAGGTTACTCCTGGCTTTGCACTCAGGAATCACTCCTGGCAGTGCTTCGGGGACCATATGGGATGCTGAGAACCAAATCCCGGTCGGCCGCATGCAAGGCAAACCCCTACCTGCTGTGCTATTGCTCCAGCCCCAAGCCATGTAATTTTTTAAGGCTTGTTTTAGAATAAATGTTTTTTTGTTTTGTTTTGTTTTGTTTTGGGGTCACACCTGGTGGTGCTCAGGCTTACTCCTAGCTCTACACTCAGGGATCACTCTGATGTTGGTGGGCCCCACTGGTGACTTCTGTGAAGGGGGGAGAAGACGGATGGTCACTTTCTCCCCATCCGTCTCTGCCACCCAGGATCCGGGGTTACTGGGTTCTTGTCTCACCTCACAGCAAAGAATTTCAGGAGTAGACAAGCAGTGAAGTAAATTTTATTTGAAGGAGAGGAGGGAGAGAAAGTCAGAGAGTAAGGCACCCATGGGAGAGTGAGGGCTTCGCTAAAGATGGGGAAGCCCTTCATGGTCTTTACAACTAGCTTTTATATGCATATTCTTAGGGATGCCTTAGTCTGGAGTTTTCTGACAGAGGTAGAGGTTGATCAGGTATTTTATCAAAGGAACAGCTTTGAAGTTCCTGGTGATTCTCTTTCAAGTCCTTAATCGTGTCTTTATCTCTGCTGAAATTGTTATCTCTGTAGGAGTCCAGCCTCCTCAGGGTCTGTTATGGACTGGCTCCAGGTGGGGTCTTATCAGTCCTTAGTTCCTATTTTCTACAAGGTCCACTTTTGCAACTTTTGGGCTATGACTTCCCAGGAAATTTTCTGCCATTGCCTTGGGAGGGGGCCTTTCCTATCTGCCTGCCTACTTACATCAACTCCTGGTAGGGCTTAGGGGACCATATAGGGAGCTGAGATATAGGCAAGCATCTACCCACTGTAATCACTCCAGCCCCTAGAGTCCTAGAATAAATTTATTTATTATTTATTTTCAGTAAATGTTTGATATGTATACATATTTTTATATGCCTGTGTGCCAAGGGTCATATAAAAATTTTTCAGGCAAAAAGGGGGTTGCAAGCAAAATAAGTTTAAGTCCTGTGGGGCCTGAGAGAGTACAGGGATAACTTGCATGACACCATATATGGTCCTTGGGTATAGAGCCAGGAAGCCAGGAGTAAGCCCTGAGCATGGTGTGGTCCCGCTTATCCCACGCAATAAAAAAGTAATGTTTAAGTGCTGAGTTGGAGAATGACAATATCTTGAGTCTGGTTCTTTCCCTGCCCTGCCCTGTCCCGTCCTTTACCAAAAAGATAAGAAAATACACCCATGTTTCATTTATCTACTTAGCAAAATGTGCTTCATTCATTTAATTCACTCCTATCAACTGCTTGTTTGTGTGCCAAACTCTGGAGAGATAATTGAGAATGGGAAATGGTTTCTTTCCTCAAAGAGCTTTTGGTCTTCTTAAGAAGATGGTCCTTTAGGGGCTGGAGCACTAGCACAGCGGGTAGGGCGTTTGCCTTCCACGCCGCCGACCTGAGTTTGATTCCCAGCATCCCATACGGTCCCCTGAGCACCTCCAGGAATAATTTCTGAGTGCAGAGCCAGGAGTAACCCCTGTGCATCGCCGGGTGTGACCCAAAAAAGAAAAAGAAAAAAAAAAGAAGACGGTCCTTTGAATTCTTAGCAATTAACTAAAAGACAGTATGCAGGGACCCTGGACTTGGCTCAAAGGGCTAGAGCTCATGCATTACTTGGGGTAGCCAAGGGTCTGACTCCCCAGCACCATCAGGAGTAGCTCCAAACATAGCCCCAAGCACCACTGAATATGGCCCCCAAAGTAAACAAATCAGAAAGAATGTGTAATAATGAATCCCTGAATTTTATATTATAATTCAGTATTATTTCAGACTTTTAAAAAATGTGGAACAGGGGCTAGAAAGATAATACCTCTGAGGGTAGGACACTTGCCTTGCACACTACCGATGTGAGTTTGACCCCTTGTTCTCCATATGATCTCTGAGCTTGGCCAGGAGTGATCCCTGAGCACAGAGTCAGGAGTCATCCCTGAGCACAGCCAGGTGTGAGCCTAAAGCAAAGAACAACAAAATGTGGAACAGAGAAAGGCTACGAAGGGGCGTGGGGAAATCATGGAAGGCAAGGCGGGAAAAGGTGGGTGAGTGTCTGATTAATATGACTAAGATGATATACAGACCGAAAAGGGTGGAAATCCCCACCCTGTCTGATAATAAAATAACTTACTTAACTTTAATGAACCTTAATTTCCTCATTCTTTGAAAGAGTGTAATTATATTTACCTTTTGGGTTCTTTTAAACAGTCATGAATTTTATCTAGCAATGATTCACTGGAACTCTAGGAACAAAATGGTTTAGAAAAGCAGATATGGAACCTGATCTGGCTACTGGTGATTTTTATAATTGATTTTTTAAAAAAATTGACCTTGAATTTAGTTTTTCTAGTTTTATTGAAATAACCAGCACATAATAGTGGTATTAAAGAGAGTATAATAGCTTCACTAAGTAAAAGTTGGGGCTGGAGAGTTAGCACAGAAGGTAGGGTGTTTACCTGCACCCATCTGAACTTAACTGGATCCCTGGCACCGTATATGGCCCCTTTGAGCCCCGCCAGGAGCCATCCCTGAGCGTAGAACCAGGAGTAAGCCCTGAGCACAGCACAGCAGGGTGTAGCCCAATAATAAACCAATGAATAAATAAAATAGAAGAAGCTGAGTGAAGGGAGCACATCTGAACTGAGCGCTGAAGATTGTGTAGACAGACGCTATCTGTTCAAAAGAAATTGGCAGTGGAATGACCAGAAGAGTTCATAGAATCTCAGATGTCTTGCTCATGGGATCCACTTGGGTCAAAATCGTTAGTAGCTTATTGTTCCATTCGCTCATAACTACTGAATGAGATACTCACATGCTCCTTTTGTCCCTTTTCCTCAGAAACGCGGGGCACAAGGAGAGAGCCGGCCAAAATCGTTTCATTTTATTTTATTTTAATTGAATCACTATGACATAGACTTACATCGTTGAGTTGATAGACCATTACAAAGTTGTTCATGATTGGGCTGCAGTCAGACAGTGATCCAACCCCGCCTCTAGCAGATTTCTAGACTAGAGTCACTATTCTATTAGATAGCAGTTGATAGTCGTCTATAAAGGGAGTCAATAAATTCAGCAATAAATGTAAGACTATGTAAGAAATTGCGGGCGAGGAAGGAATTGTCTTTTTATTTATTTACTTATTTTGGCTTTTGGGGTGACACTTGGCGATACTCAGGGGTTACTCTTGGCATTGCTGGAGTGGGGGGGAGGGGCGGGCCATAAGGGATGCCAGGAGGGCCTACACGCAAGGCCTACATGCCCTACTCGCTGTACTCCAGCCCCAGGAAGTCTTGAAGCAAGCAGCAAAAGTACAGGGCCGTGCTGAGAATGAGCCCCGTTCGGTTGGCACGCTGACGCGCGCTGCCTGCGTAACTAGGTTAGCTGACGGATGACCCCCCACCGCCACACGCCGCTCAGCTCCTCTGCCCGGATTGGGTAGGCTCGCTTCTTGGCGGAGTTATTTGTGAGACGCGGGGAAGGTCGACGTGCACGCGCACGTGGCACTCTCTGCCGGAGGTCCGGGGACTTTCCCCTGGGCGAAAGGAGTAGGAACTGAGTCCTCAGTTTGTAGCCCAGGCAACAGGCCTTCAGCACGAACCGCCCTGCAAGAAGCGGCCATCTCCCTTTTATAGGGCTGTACAATTATTCCTTTTTAGATTAGGGTGATAAAATTATAGCCTTTTTTTTAACCGTTTCCTATAATTATAAAATCATAATACTTAGTACTGGCGTATCCTAGAGGCATTTGTCTCATAAAGTTTTCACAAATGGCAAACGAGTTGATTTAGGAGCGAAGGACCAGCAGCCGTATGCAAATAATCAGGTCCCGCCCTGCCGCTTACCGGGCCTGCCTCTCCTGGGAGGAGCTAGCGGAGGTGGGCGTGCCCACGCATGCGCGCCGGGAGCCGGAAGTCGGCGGCGGGCGATGGCGAACGGGCGGGTGCTCGCAGCAGTGCTGGGGTTGCGGCTGCTGCTGCTGCTGCTGCTGCTGGTATCCGCGCTGCCCCAGGTCCTGGGTGACAGCGCCAGCCCCGAGCGCCGGGTACACGCAGGTATTAAGCAGGGCTGCGAGAGGGAGGCCGGGACGGCCCCCGGGTCCCGGGCCCCAAGTTCTACTGACCTGCCTGTCTGCCTTTCCCATAGGGGACGCTGTCCGGCTGGGCCCCGGGAGCTCGGGAGCCCGGCGGCCGCCTCTCCAGGAGCAGCGCGAGCGGGCCCGGGCCGGGGCGCTGCCGTGGGGGTCGCTGTACACCGCGGCTGTGGTGGCTTTTGTGCTGTACAAGTGTCTGCAGGTGCGGGCCGGCCCGGGGTGGGGTGGCAGTGCGGGGGGTGTCCCCGGGCCTGGGTCGAGGCCAGGACGGTAGTTTCCCACCCTACCCCCCTACCCCCCTGCGAAATTTCCTGGAGCACCCGGCGGGGGTCACTATGCGAAGGGCACGTGATCAACTGTAAACAAATACTGATCATCACATTTGATCCTTCCAGCCATCCAGCGAAGATGCTTGTCTCTCGGTCAGGGTCCCCCAAAGCAAGTGATTGGTGGGACTGAGATTCGAAACAACGTATCTGTAGACTGGCAGAAAGGTGATTGATGCTGGTGAGATTCCAGCCCTGGGCCCATCGGTGTGTGGCTGTTGGTCAGAGATTCAAGGTGCTAGGGCTACAGGGGGCTCGGATTCTTCTTGGAAAGGAGGGGACCTTGGGATGGGAACTGACACCCTAGATAAAACTGGGGTGGGAAGGGAGGGGAAAACGGTAATGACTCCCCGCGCCCAGCCTGAGTGGGTTTCACTGATGCCAATAAATAAACGGCTGAACCAGTTCACAGAAACAGGAGTCAGGGACCCAGATCCCAAATAAGCCTGACTGCTGAGGATGAGAAACTTGAATATTTTTAACCCCTGTGCTGGGGAACAAAATCAGGAGGGCCTTATGCATGTGGAAGTTTGTACCACTCATATCCTTTCTGGAAACGGAATTTAAAGATGAAATAAAGCTATTTGTTTTGGGGCTACACCCAGTGATGCTCAGAGGTTACTCCTGGCTCTCACTCAGGAATTACTCCTGGTGGTGGTAGGGGAACCAATATGGGCTACAGGGGACCTATCCTGCTTCACCACGTGCAAGGCACCTGCTGTACTATCACTGTGACCCCAAGGGTTGTTATTTTTGAAGTAATTCAAATTTTTGACGTTTTTGTTTTGATTTATACAAAGTGATTTATTATGTTTATATTGCTAAATTATCAAAATAAGCCAAGTTAATATTTCACCAGTTGCTTTTTTCTTCAGTAACTTTAAAATGTGCAGTATAGTATTTGAAACTACAGTCATTGTTGTATATGACATTTTTGTCACATATTAGGAGTTTGTACCTTTTGAGACTCTTACCCAACTCCATCTTCTCTATAAGGTAGGGTGTGACTGTTTTTAAGATTTTGCTTATAAATGAGGTAATTTGGTATTTATCATTATTTCACTTAGCAGAATACCTTCAAGATTCATCACAAGTGGTGCATTTCTCTTTTTTGTCGAATAACATACTGTGCATACATTGTCATTATCCATCCATCACTGGAAATATAAGTTGTTTTAATAACTTCAACTCTTGAAGTTATTAAGCAGTCTAAAACATAACTTAGTTCAACTAGTAGCAGCCTATTGAAGTTCATATTCACAGACTAACAAAGCTTAGCTGTATGGTGAGATGTGACTCTCTACATAATAAGACAACCTATTTCCTTAACCAGTAGCAGAAACAAGAAACTGTTCTGCTTTTTGTTCATATTGTTTTGGGGCCATACCTGCCGCTGCACAAGGGCTGGTTTTAAGTGGGGAGAAGGCAACACTGAGTGATGGTCAGGGATTATTCCTAGCTCTGCCCTTGGGAATCACTCCTGGCAGGGCTTGGGGGACCATTTTGGGCTTCCCGGGCATCAAACCGAGGTTGTGTAAAAGGCAAGTACCCTGCCCACTGTACTATCTCTCCTGATCCTCAAAGACTACTTCTGGCATGATGCTGGAATAGAATAGAGTTCTATTCCACATGGTGCTGGGATAGAATCCAGGCCTCCCACACTCAAACCATGTGCTCTAGCCTTTTGAGTCGTCTCCCCTGCCTGAGAATATCGTGCTTTATCTCCTGAGCAGCTCACTCCTGGAGAATCAGAATTCCCATTTGGGCACTGCTTTATGAGTCCTACATGCTCATGAAAGCAACCACAGAAGACTGTCAAATAATCGCTGAAAGATGTCCAGTGTTACACAGAGATGACATGGAGAAGGGGTACAGGGTGGAGGTGTAAAATCCAGTCTTCAAGTTTTTTAGGTGCTGTTGTGTTGAAAAGACAGGATATAGGAAGACTAATCAGCACCATGGGAAGAAGAGGTGTTTTTAGCTTTATTTGCAGGGTACTTTTAGCTTTGCATAACAGCTACTGGATTTTATTTTTCCTTGTGGTTTCAGGCCACCTGGGCAGTGCTCAGGGCTTACTCCTGGCTCTGTGCTCACAGATCACTCCTGGCAGGGCTCAGGGGACTGTAAGTGGTATCAGGGACCAAACCTTGATTGGGCACGGGCCAACCAGCAAGACAGTCTCCATCAACCAGCTCTTTAGCAAATCAACAAGTTGCTCCTTCCTGGGAGTGCGGGGTGATGTTGCATTAACTGATCATGGTGCAGGGGGATATCAATGTCACTTCAGGTCCAGGGGGAAGAGCTGGACTGGATGTGACTCAGCAATCAGAACCAATTGTCTTTTCTCCCTCCAACTGTCCTCCCCTCTCTGGGGGAGACAGAGGAGCTGGAGAAAATGGTTATTGCAGTGACCCTTTTCCTTCTTCCATAGCAGGGGAAGGATGAGGCTGCCCTGCTCCAGGAGGAGGCAAGCAGGAAGAAGTCATTCCAGTCAGGTGGGTTTTGCAGCCACCTCAGCTCACTTGGTGGGGCTTCAGGGACCTGCAGAAGTTTAAGACTCCTTTGCTGTCTTTTTCTACCTTTTTCCCCAGACCAGGAGCTGATCCGGCTCACACAGCAGCTGGCCCAGACAGAACAGCACCTGAATAATCTGATGGCCCAGTTGGACCCCCTGTTTGATCGGTAAGGAAAGCAGCGATGCGGGTCAGGAATTTGTGCCAGGCAAGAGAGGAGGGGGCAGAGACCCATCCATCTCTGAGTGGACGTTTGTGCAGTGTGACCACGCTGGCCGGAGCCCAGAAGGAGCTGCTGGACTTGAAGCTACAGACCATCCACCGGCTCCTAGGAGAGAGGAAGCCAAGCCAGGGTGCAGAGGTCACAGAAACAGGTACGGGGGGGGGGGGGGGGGGGGGGGGGAGGAGGGGGGTGTGGCGAGGGTGGGGGCAGGAGTCTGGCAGACCATTCCTCCAACTGGACAGTGTCTGATTGCTTCCCGCCTCTCAACAGAGACCAGCCTCCCTTTTCCTGAGGACTTGGAAATAGACAAGGCTGAGGAGACTGGTGGCACTCCTGCCTGGGAAGAGCCCCTAAACTGGAGCCCAGAGATGAGGAACCTCACTGCCCAGTGCCACACGGAACAGGGGCTGAGAAGAAGATGCAACAAGGCTGTTGTGAGGGGCCCCAGCTGTAGCCCCTGCGGGGAAGGTGGGGTCAGAGCAGAAGGTTTAGTAAAACAAAGTCTGTTCTCGTGACTGAACTCTCATATCTGCTTTGCCCCATTGCAGCTGGTCACACAGACCCATACTAGGTGCCTCAGAACCACCGGGCCTTCTGGTTGGTTTTTTTTTTTTGTTTTTGTTTTTTTTGTTTCTTGGGTCACATCTGGCAATGCACAGGGGTTACTCCTGGCTCATGCACTAAGAAATTATTCCTGGCAGTGCTCAGGGGACCATATGGGATGCTGGGAATCGAACTCAGGTCGGTGGCGTGCAAGGCAAATGCCCTTCCCACAGTGCTATTACTCCAGCTCCTCCACCCGGCCTTCTGGAAAAGCTTTCCTTATTAGGACAGAAAGGAGAAGGCTGTCTTGCGCCAACACTGAGGCACAGAACGAGCACGCTCCAGGGCTTTGATTCCTCTGGTGAGGCCTCACGTCAGCCTTCAGGGCACAAAAATCTCTTTTTCTTCACAGAGCTGAGATAGAAAGGCCTTAGTGGGGGGGAAATAAAGCACCAACTTTATTAAATACAATCCAGTGGGGAATAAATCATAAAAACAACAACATAACATAAAAATAGCCCCATTTGCAAAGCTGCAACCTTGAGAACTCTGGTCACACACTCAGCTCTGCTGCAGGGCTGGTGCAGTTGGGTCTGCGTTGGTTCCTCATCCAGAAGAGTTGGCCAGATGTCCCTCAGTGGCTCAGTCCCAGGCAAACACAGAACGACCCTTTCTCAGACTCTGAGGAGGTCTGTTCTTATTATTTTAATACTGAAGTTTCCTTGGCGCTCCTGACCCTGACCTATCCCGAGTAGCCTGGACTCCGGAATTTATTAAACGCCTCTAGTTCCTCTGGCTGCTGTGGAGAGAAGACAGTTCAGACATGGGAATGAGCTTGCTGTTTACACACAGCCACCCAGGGCTGGGCATACGCTGGATAATACAGCCTGCCCTGCAGGCAGCCAACCCAGGTTCAATCCCTAGCATCCCATATGGTACCTGCACCCCCCCCCCCCCGACAGACACACAGCCCGAAAAAAGAAAAGCAGTAGCTAGAGCACAACTCCCAGCTCCCAGGGTGTGACCCCTTTTCCCACCCCTGACCAAAAAAATCTCCCACAGGGTAGGGGTGGACTCGGGCGCAGGACATGAGACAGGCTCAGAAGCAGAGTCCAGCTCTGAGGCCTCCGCACGGCGCTCTTTCCGGGGGGAGCCCGTTTACCTGATGGCTAGAGTCAGGCTGTGGTGCCAGCGCTGCATCTCCTCCCGGTCCGTGGACATGAGCAGCAGCTTCTCGTGGGGAAAAGACAGCTGGGGAGAGAGGACCCCTGAGTGCACGGCTTGGAAAGGTGCACACTCGCACAGAGAGCCTTGCGATATCCGTGGAGCCGGATCAGGGCTGAGGCGGGAATACAGGAGGATGAACCCCAAGCCCCCGTTCTCCAAACAACCAAGACAGCTTAGCTCTCGGGTCTGTGTTGGCCTCTCCTCCCTTACCTGACCCCCACCTCTTACTTACGCTGAGTAAGCCTCCACAGGGCCCCTCTGAGTGGCCAAAGACCCTTTGGAGTTGACACTGGGCCATGGGGTAGAGCGCCCGGCAGGCGAAGGTGCCACTCTGCAGCAGGTGCAACGGGGGGCGAGGTTTGGCCATGAGGAGCACATCAGAGAAGAGGAAAAACATGCGGGGCCGAGGCTCTCCCCGAGGGGGCACCACCAACAGCCAGCCCTGCCGGAGGAACCAACGACCTGTGGGACAGGTGAGCAGTTATCTGGGGGCAGCTCCAGCTTAACAGGAAGCTGCAGAAACCCAGGGGTGCAGGCTCGCGGTGCAGAGGAAACTAGTAAGGAAATGGCAACTGAGGTGTGAAGAGAAATAGTGACCTACCTGCGGTCAGTCCCTTGGCCCGGCGGCCACAGAGCAGAGCCTGGACACGTCGGAGGTGCTGGTCGTTCTTGTGTGTCTGCCCGATGGCATGGACTCTCTGGACTGTCTCACTCATCAGCCTGGCCGCCCCTGGAATATACGCCCGCCCCAATCACTCCCATGTGACTTGGGTAACCCCAGAAAGAGTCTCTTCTGGAGGAGACCAGTCAGGGATCAACTGCAGGACCTCACACAGACAGGCAAAGGATGCGCTCAGCCACTGAGCTACATCCCCGCTACATAAGGTGACAGAAATTCTGTACATGTCAGTGGGTCCGTGGATGACAGGCAGGGCAGATAGGACCAGAGGAGTGAACACAGGAGAGTGGAGGACGGGCAGGAACGTACGCGTGAGCTGTTGGTGGTCAGGGCTGTTGGGACTTGTGTTTTCGGCCAAAGCAACGACAAGATTTTCATACCTGGAACCAAACAGGAGGAAGAGAGCTGGGCCAAAAGCCCCTCTTCCCTGCCATACAGATCACCCCCTGCACGGCCAGTGACATCCTGCTTCAGCTATGGGGCTCTTCCCTCTCATCTGGTCCTCACAATACAGTCCTCTTCCATCCCACACTGAACATGTGGGCCACACACCACAGCGCGGGAGGCCAGAGCCCATGTGCAGGTTAATCCACAGCTCCAGGATGCTGCCTGGCTTGCCTTAACTCCCCTCAGGGGCAGTGCACCTCCCCTTGCAACCAACTCAACAAAGTATCTTAACGCTGTCTCTCCAGATACTGTGGCAACAGTCCAAGGACAACAGACCTCCTGGTTTCAATGTAGAGTTCCACCAGCCCAGCTAAGGGGCCCAGGGGCCCAGGATGTTTACTCTTGCCAAGGGTGTTAGGAGCAATTTGTTCCAGGAGAGAGGCTCGGGGACAGACCTCATGGTGTCCCCAGAACTGAGGGCCAAAGTTAGAGACCCGGGAAGTCTGAGGCTGATGCACTTACTGCTGGAGCCTTTGCAGAGGCAGAGGGAGCAGGTCCTGGAGCTGAAGGCCCCCAAATTCGGGGCGGCCTTCCTGAAGACGCACGAACCTCCGGAAACGTTTGCTTTTCTTGAGTTGTTCCTAGAGTGAGCCGGGAGAGGCAGGCTGCAGGGGGAGAAACTACTCCTCTGTGTTGTATTAATTTGGGAACAATCCCCAGCCCCAGCTGGGGCCTCAGGAGAGCAGCTCATCCTCTACAAAGGGACCCAGAGGGTTTCCGGAACCTTGTGTGACGGAATTTTGGGTCTCCCCAGAAAGAGGAAAGATGTGAGGGGCAGGATGTGAGGGCGTCTTCAGGTTACCTGCAAGGTGGTCTGCGACCTCTCTGCGTTGGCAGCAAACTGGGTGTAGAGCTCTAGGTGGGGGCAGAAGCTCTCCAGGCCGGGACCCCAGTGCCCTTCTTCCAGGTAGGGAAGCAGCTCTCTGCGTAGGGGAGGATAATAAAAGAGCAGCCCAGGCGCCAAGTCCCTCAATTCTCACAGCCTTGCCAGGGAGGAAGTCTTATGGGCCCATCGCACAGATAGCAAACTGAGGCACCAGCCCAAGCTTTAGACCCTAGTTAGTCTTTCAAGTGGGTAGCTCGTACTGCAGAGGCCGGCGTGCTCCCCGCTCCTTCCCGCTCCCCTTCCACTCACAGGCTGGCTTGGTAAATGTGCTCCCAGGGGCCAAACAGGGCCTGGCGCTCAGGAGGTCGCAGGGTGCCCTTGGCTCTCAGTATGGCCACGAAGTACTACGGGAGGAGAAATACTGGCATCCAGTCTGGAGGAAGAGGAGACTGTAGCGCGCAGGTGTAGCCGGAGAGCAGATGTCAGCCCAGTGTGCAGACGGACAGACCGAAGCCTCCCCCCAGGCCCCCGAAACTGGGTCCCCGGGGCCCCACCCCTCGGGAAGGCGGGCCAAGCTCGTACCGTGGCCACCAGCCCCAGCTGCTCCTGGTAGCGCCGCTCGGTCTCCAGCAGCTCCCGGGCCGTGCAGGCACGTTTGCGCTCCCAGCGGGCACGCTGCTCTTGCACCGGGCACCGCGCGCCGGGGGCCGGGCTCGCCATGCCGGGGTCCACGGCTCCACACCGCTGGCCGCAGCCCGCCGCACTTTCAAATCCCAACCGCTGCGGGGGCGGGGCCGCGGCCGGGGACGGAAGGGGAGGGGAGCGCGCCCCCTGGCGTCGGGAGCCTGAGCGCCGCGGGGACCCCGACCGCGTCCGGGCTCCTTCGCCGTGGCCGTACCCCACCGCCAGGGCGGCGCTGTAGGCGCGCAGATCCCGCAGATCCCGCAGGTCAGCGCGAGGAGCGGGAGGCGGAGCCGCAGTCAGGGGTTTGAGTCAGAAGAGCGGGTGCAGACACTGGTCCTCACTGCACCCTCCTGTCGCATTGGAAAGCTGGCAATCGCTGCAGCTCATCAGTTGCACTGGGCTCAAGCCAGGCTCTACGTTCCTGTTGTTTCCGATTATTCGGTGCAAGATATACTCAGGTGTTCAAAATTGGGTGCCAGAGAGGTAATACGGCAGGGAGCGCTCTAGCGTTGCACGCAGGTGTCCCGGGTTTGTCCCTGACACTCCCATAGGCTCCCCAGAGCCCTGCCAGGAGTAAGCTGGGAGCACAGGTGGGTGTGGCCCAACTCCTGCCCTCTCCCCCCCGCACCCCCCCCCCCAATGAAGTCTTTGGCTTCTCTGTCAAAAGTTTATCGATTTTAACTTATTTTCTTGCTTCATACTGATCTAAACTGCGAGTTAATAGCAGCAGAGGCTAAAAACTATTGTGATGGCCCAGAATCACTCTAATTCTAAATAAAGGCAAACGTTTGCATTGCACGACCTAGTCGAAGAGAAACATACCAGGATTTTCTGACCTAAGTCTTTTGAAAAGTTGTCAGTAGCCAAGGGTAAATTGGAAGTGCGCCTTGTTATGCTTTTATGAGAAATCTCACGTGCCTTTTCCTAGCAATTCTACTCTAAGAATGCCTTCTTGGGGCCAAAAGGGATAGCACAGCCAGTAGGCACTTGCCTTTCACATAGACCTGGGTTTGGTCTGTGGCGTAGGCACCACCAGGATTAAGCCCTGAGCAGCACTGGATGTGGCAAAAAATCAAAACGCATTCTTTATGGGTATGTGGACGAAAATATATATATCAAGATGTGTACACAAATCTTTTTAACTTCAAAATGAGTTTATAATAATTTTACAAACATCTTTCATGATTCTACATAGATAACTTGTATCACTCGTCATCCCGTTGCTCACTGATTTGCTCAAATGGGCAGCAGTAACATAGATATATTAGCTAATTCTATCTTATGACACATAAACATCAATTCTTTGATTAATCATTTTATCAGTGTAGTGACCAACTGGACTCTGTCAGCCTGTTGAGAACAGAGATAAACCTAATGTTTGCTGTTAACTTGCCATCATGTTAAGTGTATTCAAAATTATGAATAAACATTTCACTTCTCAATTTTATTTTTGTAACTTTTTGATTGAATCACTGTGAAATAGACCCTTACAAAGATGTTTATAATTGGATTTCAGTCATATAGTATGTGTGGAAGAATCTTAACATAAAACTGTGTTTCTAAAATATATAGTCTTTTAAACAATGTACCTGAAAACAAACAAAACATAAAACATTGAAATCACCCAAATGACCAGAGGCAGAGAAATGGCTAGGAAATTATTTTCCTTCAACAGAAAAAAAATATGGTAATCATTTGAAGAAATCATATGAACACATTAAAAATAATATTTTTAAAGGATTTCAATGTGGGGAAATTCACATTGTATAGGAGGGTGAAATCAGACTACAAAATTCTTACACTATGATCCCATTTGGGTATAATATACATGACTCAAAGGATAGATAATCAAAAGGTAACTGTGGTTTTTTATCTCTGAGTGATGGGATTGAATTGAACTCATTCAACAAATATTTGCTAAGCTCCTAATCTGTGCCAGGCACTGGATCCCTAAGGCTTAAATGGGTGAATGGAAAAATTTAGGGTAATTAAAATTCTCTTACACTTTCCTGCCATTTCTAAGATTTCTGCATTGGATATGTATGCATCATTTTGTAATTAGAAAAATAATACACTAAAACCCCCAAATGGTAGATAGAACCTTAGACTGTTCCTGTCACTATGGACTCCTAGAATTCAGGGTCCCAAGCCAAGAACCCCAATACTATGTCAGAGTTCTCTGACTCTCTGTCATGCTAAGAATTCTGAGAAAGGAGAAATGTTGGACTTAAGGAAGAAACAACTTGAAGGGCCTGATGAAGGAAAAAATGTGGGACAGACTGTGTGGACCTTGGATTCAGGTTCCTAGGAAATTGACGCTGACTGGTGACACCATCTCAAGTGGACCCAGGACAGTGTGCATACAGAACCTGAATGGAAGGGGGCAACAGCACCATAGGAACAGGCATCTCTTTGCATCCTGGGGATGGAACTGAGCATAGCACCCAGGGATACGTTTAAGTACGCACCACTGTCTGCTTGGGAGTGGGTGGAACAGCCTACTGTGAGCTCAGCAGGAGAGAATCATTCAATTCTGAAGAAAAGAGAGGTCAAGCAGGACACTTGGAGACAGCTGATTCCCAGGGGATTAAGTGTCCCACAGAACAGAAATCAGGGTACCATATTCTACTTGGAACACGTGCCAACTCTTCCCCCCCCCCACCCCCCCCCCCACCACCAGTGCCAAAGATCGGAGGAGCTGAGGGAGGAGTCAGAAGGTAACAACATGAATTAGCCTCAACCTCCAACTTCCACTGACTGGAGGCTGGAGAAGCCTGGAGGGTGGGGGTGGGGGCTCTGAGCAACCATCAGCAGCCATTCCACACGTGGTTCTGTGCTAGTTATGGAGATGGACAAAATGTACCAGCATGGACATATCCATGACAGTGATAAACAAAAGAAGACCTCTAAGTCTTTCTGCAGGCTGATCGTCCAGCAAGGCAGACATAGCAACGGAGGCAGATGTCAAAAGGGAAATACTGGCTTTTCTGCAAGCAGGAGTGAAGGGAACTGACTGTCCAGCAGCCCTCCTGGAGTCCTGCTGTAGTTCCTTCTTCTCAGAGAAAGTGACAGATGAACTGAGACCTGAAGAATGAGGAAAACCTGGCTCATCGGGGCTGACAGTGGAGAAAGGGGACAGAGCTAGACAGCATGGTAAAAGACTTGAAAGTAAGTCCCTATGCGGAAAGTACACACAGAGGAAGGTACGCACTCATGCAGTGCATTCGAGGAATTGCTAGAAGTCCACTACAACTAGAGCATAGATTGCAAGAGTAATGGGAGTGGAGAAGTAGAGGTCAAACAACACAGGGTATTTACATTAGTAAGATGGATGATGCAAGTAATGGTCAATTCAAAGCAGTTAAACACAATTTATTGGCTCACGCAACGGAGAGGTCTAGGAGAGATGCACAGTTGACAGTCCAGCAACGCTGTGGTATCCCCATTTCCGCTTTCCACCAACCCACTCTGCCATGGTTTTTTCTTCATTTTAAGATTGTGGAAAGCAAAACCCTAAAGGGCCAGGGACGGGTATAGCTCAGCAGGAGAGCACTAACCTCACCTGTGTGAGGCCCCTGGGCTCCGTCACTGGCACTGAAAAATAAAACAAAACAAACAAACAAACAAAAAAAAAACAAGACCTTTTCCATTGTGGCTCTAAGACAATGTACAAAATACAAAATACAGCAGGCCCAGAGCATCCCCCACTGACTGAACTCACCAGGTTTCTGGCTTAGGCTACCGAGTGGAGTTACAATTACTGAAGGAAGAGGAGGTTTGTGGGAAGGACAAATTCAACAAGGGGCCTGTTGAACTTGACACACTTGTGGCACTATCCCTTAGGCAGGTGGTTATGAGGAGCAAGTCCAACCTGCAAATACATGATTCTGTCAACGACCAGAAACCACAAGAGTGGGTGAAACTGCCCACAGAGTCTGATAGCCGTCTGGGGCAGAAGGCACGTGTGTGTCCAGGACAGATCCATCCTCTCATTCTGTGTTTCCGTTTCAGTTCCAGTATGATTGATGATGTAATGGGTTAAGTGGGTGCTCCCTCCTTCCTCCCACACTGTAGTCACCCAGTTATGGGTCATTTCCTCTTCTTTATGGGGTCTGTCTGCCTCCAAAGATATGTTCATGTCTAACCCAGGGAACCTGTGACTGTCACTTAACTGGACTTACATGGAGAAAGGTTTTTTGCAGATGTGACTATCCTGGTAGGCGATAAATTCAATGACAAGTGTTCCTGGTAAGAGGCACCCAGTAGAGGGCCTGAGGGATAGTACAGAGGGCAGGGCATTTGTCTTGCATGCAATTGACTTGGGAGTCTGACATCCCTGAGCCCACCAGGAGTGATTCCTGAGCACAGTGCCAGGAGTAAGCCCTGAGCACTGCCAGGCGTGGCCCAAAAACAAATCAAAAAAGACACCTGGTGAAGGGACAAGAGAAGTTCTTAGGATGTTGGAGGCAGAGACTGAAGTGATGTGTCCATAAGCTGAGTTGCCTGGAGCCACAGGAAGCAAGAGCACAAAAGGCTTCAGAAGCAGCAATTTCTGCCTACTGACCTCCTGCATCTGAACTTCTAGCATCCAGATAACATCCATGTGTGGCCATTTGTTATTGCAGTCCTAGGAAACTGAGGCAGTTGGAGAGCTGGCCCAGAACTGCAGGTCAGCCTCATGGGACCTAAAGGGCTTTGATATGACTTTGCAGCTAATCCCTGGCTGGGAAGCAGGAGTTGGGGGCTCCCCTCCTAGCTCACCAGTGAAGTGCTTCCTTCTCTACAACCCTTAGAGAGACACAGAATTTTCTTGCACAAAGACTTGACCTTAAACCACCACACAGAGGCCCTGTACCAGGCAGGGGGTGCCCCAGGCAGTCAGTCTTGAGTACACTCTGTTCCACCCTGGGGAGGCTCAGGAAACAAAACTCTGGGAGCTTAAACCTGTTTTAGGGTTTGGCCGACTCCCAGCTGCACAGGCATGATCCAGGGTCAGAGTCTACATTCCCCTCCAGACCACAGTTGCAGGGGGAGAGAGAGAGAGAGAGAGAGAAAGAGAGAGAGAGAGGGAGAGAGAAAGAGAGATAGAGAGAGACAGAGAGGGAGACAGACACACACAGAGAACAATGGGTAATGGTATTTAAAAATTCAGGGGAGAAAGAGAGAAATGGAGAAAGAGTAATG